TTGAGATATGTTTTTCAGGTAGTTCAGACACAAACCACGACAGCTTATTGTAGAATACTACCTGCACTGGACCACCACGTTTGAGATATCTTTTTCAGGTAGTTCAGACACAAACCACGACAGCTTATTATAGAATACTACCTACACTGGACCACCACGTTTGAGATATCTTTTTCAGGTAGTTCAGACACAAACCACGACAGCTTATTGTAGAATACTACCTACACTGAACCACCACGTTTGAGATCTCTTTTTCAGGTAGTTCAGACACAAACCACGACAGCTTATTGTAGAATTCTACCTACACCGGACCACCACGTTTGAGATATCTTTTTCAAGTAGTTCATGCATACACAAACCACGACAGCTTATTGTAGAACATATAATACCTATAGTGGACTCCCATGCATAGACTTAAAATATTTAGATATACGTATACCTTTTGTAAGAACAACTACGAACACACAAACGGTGCTGAATGCAAGATATCTGGAAGACATACTAGATAAGAAAGGAATTAAACATAACAAGTGGAAATATATAATGCCATACTAATAACGGTTTAAAGCCTGGTTTCCATATTTGGTCGTAAAAATAGAGGCACGATCTTTCTCAACGGCCAGTTTATAATAGTTTATACCTGTAAACCACATGTAAATCATAAGTATTCTCTAGTTATAATCAGTCTGCGTAGTTCAGTTCTAAAATGTTGTATTTCAGCTGATGAGAAAGATCGTGACTCAATCTTTACGACCGTTACAACCATATGGAAACCAGGCTTAATTAATGCACGCGAGAATATATTTAATGATAAAAATTGCAGCAATTACCGACGATTAAAGCTACCAAAAATGGGGTCTAAATAGTACAAAAACCACGGCCAGTAGACGAAAATATTAAAAGAAACCGAATGAATGATGCCGTCTTAAAATTCAAGATTTGAATACGAACGTTTGTAAATGTGAATTTTCGACATTTCAAAGTCATCATAAGTAAATATACAGCTGATTCAAAAAAGGTTTTCCTTTGCAAACCTTAAAAACTCTAAACCTTAAACTCCAAGCGTGCAAAGCATGATGGGAGCATCATTTAATCAGTTTAGAAATCATACATGGTGCCCATTTCTTAGAGACATGGTAAATATCTCCTTACGAGGACAATTCATTCACAAATAGCTGCAATATTCAACCGTTTTTGAATTAGCTGTATATGAAAAGTTATAAGTGTTGCACTTATCACTACTTTGCATTTTGTATATTTTATGCATTACCAGAATAATAAACGTTATTTTTAGCAGAGACGGTTATATAAAGAAACGTGCATCCAAGTGTTTACGAATGAAGACAATCCATGCAAGTAAAATTATAGCCGTTTGAAATGAGCGTCAAAACGAGGCTAGTCAGTCTTCGATCTAGCACAATCTCCGCTGTTTCTAAGACTGAACTTCCGAAACAGAGTACATGGTTTTATATTCAGATTTTGTAAACCTGGTAATCTTGAGGTATTCTGTATAAGGCGGTAGTGATTACCTTGGTCGAAATTCATTTCGGGAGAAAAAAAATGACAAGTATTTATCGAATGAGTATAGTCTATTATATAAAGCTTTGTAAACTAATTACGACCATTTCTCGTTGAACAAGTTCATGCAGACTCAATACGACGCTTGGCTCTATGCCACAGACACGAACAAGCATGTCCAAATTCAATTTTGTAGACATGTTTGCAATGCAGAGGCTTTATTTAGGCTTTGTCAGACAATGGAATACCAAAATCGCTAAGAAAAAAATCCTAGTGTTTAATTAACACATTCCTCAAACAGTGATTTAACAGTATTATGGCAGTTCTACCAAAATTTAATTTGACATTTTTAACTTAAGAAGGCATTTTAATGAAACCTTTCTACCTACCCCTTTTATTTCTGGTTTTAATCTAACTTTCCTACATTGCGTGTTTTTATGTAGTCACGTTTTATCCATCTATATAAATACCATTTGTCATGGACATATTATGGGCATGGCAATTATACTGAATTAGTGTCAGTTAACCAAAACATCTGATCCGAATTGCACTAAACTTGACATCTAAAGTTATCTTGAAAATATTCTAAGGAACCATGTAGTAAAATTGTCTTGGTAAGTCTAGCCAGGTTTTTGGTCAAACCGTGTCTGGTATGAGGTCAATATATCTATATCGTCGACATTCACTTATAGTTCAGTAGCTGCTGATACGATCTCCGCGGATAGATTAAAAAATACTGAGATATATATAGCCAATCCTAAAAGTTACAGCCTACCTTTATTCGTCCAGTGCGAGAGATAAATTCGATGATATATATCTGTAAACAGAGCAAATATTGTTTGTCCGCACACAAACGCAATCAAATTGGCAGTGCATACAAAGTGGGAAGTATTTGTCAAATATGTGAATTGGAGCATAAGAATAGCGGGCATAAATTAAAACTTAATGAATGTAGCAGTCTTGCATGTCTTGTATTTGGAGGCAAATAAATAGAATGGAAAGATGTAGTTGAATTTGTTTGCTTCTAGAAGTGTGAACATTTCCGAAGTCATTTCCGAAGTTGCCTCCATCTCTGATCAGTGCCCAGGTCCACTTGGTGAATCTCATCTTTAAAACGACGGAAACATCAAAATGTAATATTGCCCTCAAATTATACAACGTTAAATAGGTATTGAAAAACAAATTAGGTCATAAAAAATCAATTATCAATGACAAAACAGAGTTACTATTAGTCTCGGCGGCTTACCTGGAAACAAGTTAATCTGTCTTTGATTTCATCGCGATATCATGTATTTTGCTGCAACGAATGCTAAATGTAGAGACGTTATCTATGCTTCCATAGAGACGTTAAAAACCACCTATCCGTATCTTTCAGGAACGCTATTTTCCGAGGAATTATTGCAACGGAGAGATGTTTCGCTCAGCTTCTGAAAGTTGTATACTTTCCGTATCGGATGGGTGCTTTTGGTGCCGCCACGGAAAGCTATTTCGTACAGCATAAAGGTAGCCGTTTTCGTGAATTTACTTAAATGGATCCCAGCCCAAGCTTACCAGAAGAAAACCCACCATTATCGGTGCGAATCTACTTCTACGTGTCCTAAACCACCTTGTCAACATTTCCTACGTGATGAAACCGCTGTACCCGAAGATAACCCACGACATTCGTCTGAGACCATTGACGATTTTTACGTCAGTTTCTTAATTACATTATTATCGGAAAGGGAAGAAATTCGATTCCGTGAAAGGCGGCCGTGATTGCGGCCGAAAGTGGACATGCAAACAATCTGAATATAAGTTCTCTGTAGGTGAATTAATCTGAATATATATTTCAATTAATAAAAAAATATTGGTAATACTTACAAAATCGTTAAAAATAATATTTAAATTTAGCCTATAATTGAAAAGTCATTTCGAATTCATTGTCTACATACACTCACGAATATATATGATCCCTAATATGATGTCTATTCCCTAATGATATGTATATGGGATTTAGCTATCTCACATAGTGCTATGCCAGAATATATTACTGCTGTATGCAATATACATGCAAATGCATACTTTATGCAATAGCTATTCTCCGAGTGTGCACCTAGCAAATAGTGCTATATGTCAGAATATGATATATATTAATTTCTATATATGCAGTGTACATATACGAGTAGCTATTGTCCTTATTGCTGTAAGCAATCACGACATCTAACAGTCACTTAGCTTATTCACTCATCAGCGTCGAAGCGAGTGGCGAAGAAATTTTTTGGGGTCTTTTGAGAAAGCGCTGAGAGAAGGCGGATGTTGGTTCTCGCAGCCAATGGCAGTATGAAGCCGTTTTCGTCCCAGTCTCGTCTGGCTGGGTTCGTTCTCTGGTACCGAGGCGTTGGTAAATAGATTGCTGAGCACTGGCGTCAGGTTGGCTTGGTAGCACAGAAGATTTATTTCGTCTGTCAAAGAGCTGATAAGATAGATAGCGCCTGTTGCCATTGCCGCTCCCAGAATCCTTGGTCTCGTGATCTCGGCAAACTTTCGAGATATCGTTCTGAAATGAAAGAATTTTCCCAAGTTAATAAAGTTGTTTTCATAGAAATAGCTCTATTAGTTCTAAACTGTTCTCCCTGGAGGTCCAGTAAGGATAATCTCTTATTGATCCAGTGTCACTACAGAAAGAAACCTAAACTAAACTAACTTTATTTTTGCTGGATAGTTCTATCAGTTCTAAACTGTTCTTCCTAAAGGTCCAGTAAGGATCATCTCTAATTGATCCAGTGTTACTACAGGAGGAAACCTAAACTAAACTAACTTTATTTATACTGGATAGCTCTATCAGTTCTAAACTGTTCTTCCTAAAGGTCCAGTAAGGATCATCTCTTATTGATCCAGTGTTACTACAGGAGGAAACCTAAACCAAACTAACTTTATTTTTACTGGATAGCTCCATCGGTTAATCTACTCTCAATGGATCCAGTAACGCATTACTACAAGATGGAAACCATTTTGACAAAAAAAAACAGAAAAAAACGGAAAAAAATCAAATAGCGGTGGCTTACAATCAACTCGTATTCATATTCTGTACCCTGGCTTATTTCAGATGTGTGTAAAAGCGAAAATAAGACGGACATATTATTCGTAATCGAAATGGCCGCCATATTTTACTCAGTGTTTCCACTATTTTATGAAATTTCCTTTAAATTTTCCTAAGGAAATTTCATTAAAAAACATCGTTTTTTTCAGGATTTTTTTCCGGCGTTTTTCGGTTTTTACCCTGAACCGCCCGACCCTACTCTTCTCAGATTCAATTGAGATGAAATTATAATGAGACAATTTATGTTGCAGAAATGGTTCCCATTCGCGATAGAGATGAAAGGTTTCACGAGCAATTAGCCATTCCGAAGTTGATAAGTGGACTGGGGACGAGTGTTAAAAGTGCCCAAATTAAGAAATGAACTAAATCACTAAAAAGACCACCTCAAAATTAGCAAGTATACAAAGTTTGAAGACGTTTACATGAATACCCTTCGAAAATGATGAAATTACTGATTAAAAGATTGTTTTTGGGACGCGCGTCCCAAAAACAAAAATTGCAATACATTTCATAGTAAATATCGGATTTTCGAAAGCTTATTATTCGAAGGATATTCATGTAAACATCTGTATACTTACTAAATATTTGTATACTTGCTAATTTTGAGGTGGTCTTTTTAGTGATTTGATTCATTTCTTAATTTGAGCACTTTTTAACACTCGTCCCCAGTCCACTCGTCAACTTCGGAATGGCTAATAATACAGCGACTTACCCCTGTTGTTCCAGTGCAGGTATCTGACAAATTTCGATCGAATTGAAATGGGTCACATACAGGTATGGTTCTTGATATGCTGTAATACGAATGAGGCGATGAATTATTTTACACAAACCAAGCATTTACAACCTGATAAGTGACATACTGAAGAGGGGGTGTCCTCGCTGGAAGTCACACAGGCCACAATAACTATTTATACATTTAACAATTTCGCAAGATCAAACTAGGCGTCTTCCTTACCGAACGAAAGTGGAAGACCCGTCCATTTCAAATCATCTTTCCTTGTTCGTTTCCCGCTTGCATCGACAAACACGCCAAAACCTAAATAGATTCATTGTATGGTTTAATTATGAAAATCGTTAAGTTTTTGGGAGCGTTCTGACACATGAGAGAGTAGTCAGGGATGTTAGTTTTTACCATTGAAACAAAGCAGGAATTCTTCCTCGGCAGACGACTTTGACACTTGAAGAACATCAACAGGAAAGCTGTTAGCTTGGCTTGCGTGGTACACAGCAAATGCCAAGGTTGTATCTTTACAGTCTAAATAATCTGGTAAGAAACAGAGAATAATCATTAACATAATCATCATTACCACCATAAACACCCTGCTGGTCACCACGACAACAATTATCACCACCATCACCCATCACCAATATCACAATCATCATCCTATACCAACATCACCACCATCAGGCATCACCACCACCACCACCACCCATTACCTTTGATTGTGAACTGTCGCAAATCAATTTGATAAAACTTGTTGGAACCAACAATAATTTTGGTATTAGAGAACAAGATGCAACTACACGGCTCACTGCTGTCAATTTCTTTTCTTGTCACGAAACAATTCATCGAAGTATTAAATCTTAAAACTGAAATTTTGTTTGGCAAAGCAGCACAAAGGAACATGCCATCTTCAACCTTAATAGAAAAATGAAATAAATTAACGTTTACTGAAGTACATAACTAGCCAAATTAAGTTTACTTACACTGGACAGCTCTATCAGTTCTAAACTCGTCTCTTATTGATATAGTGTTACTACAGGAGGAAACCTGAACTAACTTTATTTCTACTGGATAACGTTACCAGTTCTAACCGGTTCTTCCTAGAGGTCCACGAAGAGTCGTCTCTTATTGATCCAGTGTTACTACAGGAGGAAACCTAAACAAATTTCATTTATACTGGATATATCTATCAGTTGATTCAGTTCTAAACTGTTCTCCTTGGAGATCCACTGAGAACCATCCTTTAAAATTGTTTCAGTGCTACTACAGGAAAAACCGGAAAATGCCATCGCTTATTGTTACTACAGGAGAAAACGGGAATCCCAGGAAAAAACCTATACTGACACACTTCTGACATGTGACTGATGTGAAATTTATTATATTCAGAGTCTCAGACAACTGCAAAGTACCTTCTTCGAAGCAAAGAGATGACAGTTCGTAATGTTGCCAACATTTTGGCATTCAAGAGGAGCCAAAGGCACTTCACGCGATTGTTTCGTACATGCCTCGAGCTGTTTGAGATCAACAGATAACAGTTCTCGATCAACTCCTAAAAATACAAGACAGAACGACCACGTTAGTAATTCTGTCTTGACGCATAGGGCCTTCGCTCACAACGTCGAAATGTTTTGTTAATGCTAGTTCGCACTATCAACGTTTCTGTGATCACAGTAGGAATTTTGCATCGGTAAATTCTAAGTTTTGAAAGAAATGTTTGAGGGAACTCTTTCAGTGTTAAACATGAAGTCAGTTTCCTCAAACACTTCTTACAAATCCTTCAAAACTTAGAATTTACCTATGCAAAATCACAGAAACTTGAAATGTAAACTAACCTTTAATCTCTTTCAGGAGGCACAACTTTGAGACACAATCTACAGCAGTCAATTGTAGCAAGTGTACCTGAAATAAGAAGTGCCAATCCAAGATGTTTCTCAATCTTAATTTGATAAACATTCCTCACTCCAGGTATTTGGCGAGGCCTGTTGTCATGACCTGGTTTTCCCACAGGTAAAATGAACAATCCTTCTTCTGCGCCCAACAGTACGAACTAGATAACGGATAAAAATATTAGGAAACAATTACAGCGCAGTGTACACATGTAAATACGCGCAAATTGTTAAAGATCTGCAAACAAGTTGCAACAAGGTTGTTGGGAAGCCAATATCAGGATGTGTTCGCACTGCTTGTTCCCAGTTGTTGCGACAAGTCTGGAACAAGTTGTTATTACCTTGTTACAAGGTTGATGACGGCAACAGGCTTGCTACAAGTTGTTCCAACAAGACTATAATACAGGCTGTTCGTAACAAGTTGCAACGAGCTTGTTCTCTTCAACTTGCTAATAACTTGTTACGTGCAGACTATATCGGACTTGTTGGAACAACTTGTTGCGAGTCTGTTGGCCTCATCAACCTTATTACAAGATGATAACAACTTGTTCCAGACTTGCCTTTATCTTTACTGGTTTTTCCTTTAGTAACACTGGATCAATGAACGACTGGTATTATTGAACCTCTGTGGAGAACAGTTTAGAACTGATAGAGCTATCCAGTATCAATAAAGTTAGTTTAGTTTAGGTTTCCTCCTGTAGTAACACTGGATCAATAAGAGATGACTCTTACTGGACCTCTTAGTCTAGGAAGAACAGTTTGGAACTTATAGAGCTATCCAGTATAAATAAAGTTAGTTTAGTTTAGGTTTCCTCCTGTAGTAACACTGGATCAGTAAGAGATGATCCTTACTGGACCTCTAGGAAGAACAGTTTAGACCCGATAGAGCTATCCAGTATAAATAAAGTTAGTTTAGCTTAATAACTATTGCAAAATATAAATAAATGACATCAAACCTTGTCATTTAAAACGCCAGTTGTGTTAATATCCAGGCGTTCCTCTCCTTTCATTCCGAGTAACAAATTGCCATTTATTTTCTAGAAAAAAATAACAAATCTTAACAAAAAGTTTTGTTTTTTGAAAAAGTAACTACCAGCTTTGCGAGTAATAAAATTAGCATAAAAACAATCGGTACAAAGTTCAATATGCTAATTTAAAAAAACACACAATATTTTGAAAAAACGTTCTCCTGTTTTTTCAATGTTGATATGTATTTTTTGATAAGTACGCAAAATAATTTTTGACATAATGCGAGATTTTTTTGTTATTCAAATATTACAGGCCAACAAATGGTGACCAACCAGCATTTAGAAAATTAAAAAATGTTAATTCTGTATTATTATTGACCACCATCTGCTGCCCTTTGACGCTGACTGAAACCATATATATTTTATATACACTAGATAGTGCATGTAATTATTTTGCAATTCAAAAATTGAAGCCGTGATTGCAGTCTCAGGTCGTTCCCATTAAATGAGGAGATTCGTATATTTCCTATTTCTTAAACAGGGAAATATTAAGTTAACTCTATTCCAAATACATTTTTAAACTATTCAAATGATGAAAGTTATCGTTGTTTTTAAGCGTTTATTAGCAAGTGGGAACGACCAACATGGCCGCCATCTATTCAAATGGGGTAACCGCTGGAATATTCTTGGCTTCAATTTTACTAAAAGAGATGCGCTATCTAGTTTATATACGATATCTATGACTGAAACCATATTGAATACGATAAGAAGGTTAGGGAACTCGACGCAGACATAATACACCTCATTATCTATGTTTTTGCCTTGGTTTATGCGAGAAATTGTCCGTTCATCGTCACGTGTGTATTGTATTTTCCGCGCTACAGCAACCAATAGCTATGTTCTCATTTAACCATTGTAGTGTAATATCACGACTGGGTAATTAAACCAACGCACTGCTATTGGTTGGTTTGGCGAAAAATCAATACACACGTGACAATGAACTGGCATTTTGCATAAACCAAGTCAAAAACATAGATAATGAGGTATATCCGTATATCATGTCTGCATCGAGTTCCCTAAGGCCAAAAAAAAAATATATGTGGGTTTCCGGTTTCCCGACCCTACCTAGCTTTTAGACGTCGAAATCCCGACCCTAAACTTTTTTATTGGATCATGCTTGTAGGTGTTTCCACTTAGAGGAAAAACTTTGTGGAAAATTGAAATTTGAGGCAATATTAGGGAAATTTATCTTTGGATGTGGAAACACTGACTAAACAAAATGGCGTCCGGTTGTTCGGAAAATTAAAAAAAAAAGTTTAAAAAAAAAAGTTAAAACCGACCTACCCTACCTAAGTTTTTATAAGAAGAAACCGGAAACTCACATATTTTTTTTTTTGCCTAACTTTCTTATTTTATTGACTATGATGAAACCCCAAACACAAATTGAGGATATCCATGCATCCCGGACATCCACATCTTAAACATAATAATAGCAAGCCATACAGTCAGCTACCTGATTATTATTCGGCAACGCAGCCGGCTTTCTTTCATTCACGGCATTCTCCAGAGCTCTCACCCATCTCTGCTTCTCAGGGAAACTGGACGCTAGTAAGAACAGCGTGCGACCGGGCCAACAAGTGGTCTGAGGACGAACTTCAATAGAGAACACGTACGGCAGGTCCGTTGCTGCCGCTCCAAGAAGGTCTGAACCCGCCACGGCAGAGTAGACTTTCACTTCATTTTCACAAAGATTGAATTGTTCACATTGTTGGTCTAATGCGACATTAAAAAATAAAAATTAGTTTTGTTTTCCTCCTGTGGTAACACTGGATCAATAAGATCCTTACTGAACCTCTAGGGAGAACAGTTTAGAACTGATAGAGCTATCCAGTATAAATATAGTTAGTTTATTTTAGGTTTCCTCCTGTAGAAACACTGGATCAATAAGAGATGATCCTTACTGGACCTCTAGGAAGAACAGTTTAGAACTGATGGAGCTATCCAGTATAAATAAAGTTAGTTTAGTTTAGGTTTTCTCCTGTAGTAACACTGGATCAAAAAGAGAGGACTCTTACTGGACCTCTAGGGAGAACAGTTTAGAACTGATAGACTCAGATAGAGCTATTCAGTATAAATAAAGATAGTTAATGTAGTTTAGGTCTCCTCCTGTACTAACACTGGATCAATAAGAGAGGACTCTTACTGGACCTCTAGGGAGAACAGTCTGGAACTCTGATAGAGCTATGCAGTATAAATAAAGTTAGTTTAGTTTAACATTTATTACCAGGGTTGTTATTCTTGTCTGCTGATTCAGAGACAACCAATTTTCCATCTTTCAAAGAAACATACTTTGTATCCCAACCATTCTTGGCAGAACCATTTCTGTGAACGAAAAAATAACTATTTCTATACGAGAATGCGTCTCTACAGTGTCAGGACAATATGAAACTAGTTAGTTACCTGGGGACTTTCAAGCAGCCCTCCATAGAGATTTCCTTGCCGTCAGAGAGGTCGGCATTCTCAGATGAAACGAGTAACGATGTTTCCGTCCTGGATCCTCGCAATGCCTCACTGAAGTGTTCCACATACTGAGTGGGCAAGCCGCAGGTACGAGGCAAAGACATAGAACACTTGCAATGACATACGATACCACATTCTACAGCGAAACAGACTTTGATAAATATCATTGCCTGGTCTTAGTTTAAAAAAGAAATCTTCTGATGGATAGGGAAGCAAACTACAGACGTAAATATCTCACAACTTGTCAACAAGATGTGTTCGCAACAGGCTTGTAACAAGCTCGTCAAGAAGTTGTAACAACGTCAATGCTGTTATTTTATCAAGTTGCTAAGGCTGTCACTCACAACTTGTTGACAAAATGTTGAATTGCAGAGGCCGGTTGTTCAAAGGTGCATGGTTAACGCTAACCCTAGGTTAAAATTTAACCTGCTGTTTTAGTTCGTGTATTTCTGCACGTCTGTTTATTTCAAAACTTCAGAGAAGAAAACTCCTATCAATCCAGACAACATCTCTGAAGAAATATTTCCAAATTTATAGACAAGCTGTCAGGAAGTTTGCTTTGAATTTTAGGTTAACCCAGGGTTAAGCTAACCCAGCTTTGAACAACCTGCCCCAGAACGATATCAAGTTGTTGCATGGAACAACTTGTAACAAGCCTGTTCAGCTGAACAATCTTGTAGCAACTTGTCAACAAGCTGGGAACAAGCAGTGCGAACACATCCTATTGACAACTTGTTGGAACAGCATTGCTACAAGTCTGCTGCAGGTTTGTTACAACTTGTGCGTTTATACGTGTGTAGCTGAACAAGGAGAACTTCGGCGTTTCGAGCGAAGGCACTTTGACTACTATCTTCTCGATGAAGTGCCTTCGCTAGCGTAGTTACATCTCTTATCAATCCGAAGCTTTTTTAATAATGCTAAGTTCCTATCTCCCGTGATAATCCTTACTAGGACTGTTCGGTATACCGATATACCGAAAATATCGGTATTAAATCAATATCGGTATATCGATACTGGATATTCAACCATACCGATATACCGAAATTTCCGATATACCGGAATTTTTTGGTATACCGTGTTAAATTTACCAACTATATGGCGAAACCATAACCTTTATTTTACTACTGCATGGCAATTCAAAGTACTTTCTACAGCAATGATTTAGAATTTCCACTTCAAGTGAGATTTTACACTGAGTACGTGCATGTCGTTTGAAACATGTTCGAAACAGCTTCGAAATTATCGTTTTCCCTTTTAGAATTACTCAAAATTTCCTTCAAACTTCCATTAAAGAATTTTCCTTTATAATTATCAAAGGAAAACCGGTATACCGATAATATCGGTATAATTTTTTCGGTATACCGATACCGGAAATTTTTCATACCGAACATTCCTAATCCTTACCAGTGCACTTCGACACTTGTCGTCCAAACAATATACTGTCGAGACACACAGGACAACGGGTAGCTCGCATATTGAGCACGACGGTGAACCTATGAAAGAACAGAATTTGAGAATATGGTGCAACCCTACAACTGTGTATTACAGGAATCTAGTGCTGATCATAGGAAGACACAACGTGCCAGCCAACACTCCGAAATATTACACGTACCGATGAGGGATGTTGTGATGCATGCGTTCCTTCGGTCTATGTGTAGAATTCGATGAATTTTTCCTCTTACGTGAAACGGATGGTGTAAGAGTGGATCCAGGACTGGGCTGCTGGCTTGGGGATTGCTGGATTGCAGAGATCACCGCCAATGATTGGTTGGAACGCGCCACTGTTGCATTTGGTGTCAGGTGACAACGACCTTTCCAATATGTTACTGGAGAGAAAATTGGATTAGGTCAGTAGTCTTTCGTAAGGTACGTCTACACGCTGCGATTTGACTCAGTTCTGGCATTTGAAAACTGAATTTTGGCATTTGAAAACAGAGTTTTGGCATTTGAAAACTGAGTTTTGGCATTTGAAAACGAGTTTGGCATTTGAAAACAGGAGTTTTGGCATTTGAAAAAGGAGTTTTGAGATTTGAAAAGGGAGTTCTGGCATTTGAAAACCGAGTTTTGGCATTTGAAAACAGAGTTTTGGCATTTGAAAACACTGGACATAGAATGAGAAGGGGTTCCACTGATATTTAATTTAAAAATGTTGAATACCTTTTTCTTTCGTCTCGTCGAGTTCTTCTTTGGCTTTATTCAACTCTTGTTGAAGTTGGGAACGATTGGTTCGTTCTTTTTCCAACGTTTGTTGAAGTTCGCTCCATTGATGCGGAATGAAATTATTCTCGTCCGAATGTTGCTTGCGTGAACTGATGAGGTTCGACACTCCAAGACGCTAAAGAAAGACCATATATACTGCATAACACGACTATACAACAAGAATAATAAAACAAACATCATCACCATCATTACCGCCACTACCATCATAATCGCCATCACCATGATCATCGTCATCACCATGATCATCACCATCACCACCACCACCACCAACACCATCATCACCATCACCACCATCACCACCAGGCCAAAAAACAAATATGTGGGTTTCCGGTTTCCCGACCCTACCTAGCTTTTGGACGCCGAAATCCCGACCCTAAACTTTTTTATTGGATCATGCTTGTAAGAGTTTCCACTTAGAGGAAAACGTTTGTGAAAATGAAAATTTGAGGCATTAGGGAAATTTATCTTTGAATGTGGAAGCACTGACTAAACTAAATGGCGTCCAGTTGTTAGGAAAATTAAAAAAAAAAGTTAAAAAAAAAGTTAAAACCGACCTACCCTACCTAAGTTTTTAGAAGAAGAAATAGGAAACCCACATATTTTTTTTGGCCCCACCACCATCATTACCATCATCATCACCACCATCACCACCACTATCACAGTCACAATCACCAATTCACCAGCATCATCACCAATTCATCATCATAACGTACCTTCCACTTTGAAGTTTTACTTTCCGCTTTAAACTGCATGAAGTCGATCAATTTCGATTGCTGTGCACTGGTGGAGACAAGCTTCACTTTCTCCTCAGCATGCAGCGACTTCAACGTCTCTAGATGTTCCGCCATGGCGCTGTTTTCCGTTAACATCTCATCTTGACGCTCTTTCAATTGCTGTAACTCTTGTTCAAGCTCCGACTTTGCTGTCTCCAGTGAGGACACTGTAGTTTTTTGTTGCTCAACCTTAAAAATAAAATGACAATTTTAGAAAACGTTGGAGCATTTGGGTCAGTGCATATGTCTCTGTGACCGAGGTTTGATTCATGTACTATCAGGGTTCGTAGTCTCCAAGACCAAAAATATTCAAAGATTTTTCTGCCTATTTTCAAAGACTTTTCAAAGACTTTTGAGAGCAATCAGCTGTCGAAAAAGCTGTAAAAGCTTGCGAGTGTAAGCACCATTTTTACCCAGTAATTAGTCCCGTCAAATCACATCCTAAAATGCGCCTTTTCGTCCATATTTGCGAAAATCTTGCTTCAATAAATCTATTCCCCACTAAAGAATTTAAAGACTTTTGAAGACTTTCTTCGCTTTTCACACAATTCAAAGACTTTTCAAAGACTTTAAAACCAGCTGCATTCAAATTTAAAGACTTTCAAGGATTAATTTCAAAGACCGCTACGAACCCTGAGTATGCAGTTAAGGATTTGTAAGAAATATTTGAGGAAACTGACTTAATGTTAAACACCGAGTCAATTTCCTCAAATATTTCTTACAAATTATCCACAACTTATGTAAAGGACATCATCACTTACGTTCTCAAGCAAGGATTTCTTTGCCGTCAATTCTTTCTCCATTTTTCGTTCCAAAGATTTCAAATTCAGTTCCGATCTTCCAAGTTGAGTCTCTTGTTCAGAAATCTAAAAAAAAAACAATTGTTCTTCGTTGAGCGCCGCGCAAGCTGGGGTAAACTGTTTCCACCCTGGTTACCACGGCAAAAATAAACAAATCTTACCGTTTGTCGGTATTCGTCGATCAATTTTCGACATTTTTCAAGTTGGTCGTTGCTTTCCTTGTCCTCACCTTCCCTGCTTCTACAAACATTTAACAACACCAAAGAATGAATTTGTTTGAATGTACGAATTATCTATTATAATCGTGATATACTGTAATATATATGATATATTGCTTACAATATATATTAATATTGCTTGCTTACGAATTATCTATTAGAATCTTTTAATAAATATACAGGTATGATATATTACTTACAATTCTTGCTCTAATCTCGATTCGTACTTCTCATTTGCTAACTGTAATTGTTTTCTACAACAAAAAGACATACTCTCTATCAACATAGGATCATTATAAATTTTGCAAAAACATTTCATACACTTCCAACAGGATCATTTCAAGATCTTCTAACAGGGTTCGCAGTCTCCAAGACCAAAAAATTTCAGAGACTTTCAAAGATTTGTTCTGCCTATTGTCAAAGACTTTTCAAAGACCTTTGAGAGCAATCAGGTGTCGAAAAATTGCGATGTATAAGCACCATTTTTACCAGGTAATTAGTCCCGTCAAATCACATCCTAAAATGCACTTTTTCGTCAAATTTTGCTTCAATCAATCTACTTTATTAGTTAGAAAATCGTATAATCAAATAATCACTAAAGAATTTAAAAACCTTTAAAGACTTTCTTCGCTTTTTCACACGCTTCAAAGACTTTTCAAAGACCTTAAAGACCTGCATTCAAATTTAAAGACTTTCAAGGATTTCAAAGACCGCTACGAACCCTGTCTAATCACTGTGGCAAACTTACTTTTCAATTTCCAGCTGTACATTCCTTTCATCCAATTCATCATTCAAAATTTCGAGTTCCTCAATTTGACCTTCCAGCATCGAACATGTCGCTTTTAGAGCCTCGATTGTCTGTGAAGAACGAAAAAAATGTCGATGGTTTCATATGGTGGGCAACTTCATCGACACGCGTCAATGATGATTCCAGCTACATAAACTAAATTTTGATCAAGGCAAGAAGAACGAAATCCAACAGCACAGCTAGAAAGAGCATCTTGGAATGAGTAAAACTGCAAAGATTGGTTGCGAAATGTTGTGAAATGAAGAAAATATAGTCCTGTGAAGTTCGCAAATTTTGTATATATTTGTATTACGCGCGGTAAAAATAATCACTTTCGGCTCAAAAATGCGCGTAATACAAATATATACAAAATTTGCGAACTTCACAGGACTATATTTTCCTCATTTTACAACATTTCGCAACCAAACTTTGCAATTTTACTCATTTTAAGATGCTCTTTCTAGGTGAGGTGTTGGATTTCGTTCTTCTTGCCTTGATCAAAATTTCGTCCACAGCTGGAAACACCCATTAAACGCATTACCTTTTCATATTCATTCACATTCTTCGTAGTTGTAGCAAGTTCAGCGTCGAAAGTTTCACTTCGTTTCCGCAACTCAGAAAGTAGTTCCGATGTTTTTCGTAGGTCTGCTTGTAAATCCTTGACAATGAAGAAACCCAACATCTAAATTAGTATATACAAAATGTCTATACTAAACTAGCTTTATTTGTACTGGATAGCTCTACCAATTAGTTCTAAACTGTTCTAGTAAGGGTCTTCGCCTTATTGCTCCAGTGTTACTACAGGAGGAAATTGGAGTATCCGAAGAAAACCTACGGCGTTTGGTAGAGTCAAACTGGAAGCACTCTTCTCACATGTGACTGAGGTGAAATTACATATATTGACAACTACATATTGCAGGAATAGAACCCCAGTCACACAGATGAAAGACAAGTGCAATAAACACTGAGGTATATGTATACCTTAGTTTTGGTTTTAAGTTCTTTATTTTCGTTATTCATGACGACAATTTCTGCCTTCAGATCTTGCACTTCTTCATTGTCTTTGCGTAGGGATTCCTTCAACTGTTCTTCTTTGCTGAGCTTGTTAATCTGAAATACGACGGAGGAATAGACTTTGCTGTTTATTGCACTCTTGTCTCAAATGCCTCAATGTCTTATATTAGAAAACCTACCGCCTGTATATCTTCGTTAGAAACAGATTTATTCTTCACTCCACTTTCTAAACTTTCTTTCTCTTTCACCAATTTTTCACACTTTTCCTTCAATCTAATTATTTGATCGTTCAATTCAAGTTTCTCCTCATCATCTTTCTTCGAATCCTTGCAATCGTCGTCTGTTGCAGTTTTCACCGCCTAAATCAATAGATGGTTCCAGCTATACAGGGTGTATCAAAAAAAGCGCAATCCTCGACTGAAATGTAAATTGCTAAACAAATAATAGACGAAAACGTTAAAGTTTACATTCATTTTAAAGCGTAGCCATTCAGCTTTCCAACAGTGGGTTGTTTCTTAAATTTGACTCATTGGTTCGCGGGTAATAATACTTTACGTTATTGCGATTGGAGATTAAAAAAATTGAGATGGAATAACAAATCGTTCTCATGAAAATAACTGATTTTTTCATTAAAACAAAAAAATGTTGCATTTTATTAAATGGATTGTAACAATATTAAGTATAATTACGGCTTTTCTTCCACTATTTTTAACTCAGTTTGAAACTTCAAATGCGATATAATTTTGGCTTGGACCATCTAAGTTGACTGACATCAACTTGCTATAATTTCTGTTTACATTACATCGCAATTCGATGACACTCTGGCTCAGACACCAGAATGATTTGACGATTTTTAGCATTCGTTTAGGATTTTCAAACAACCTGGTCTCTTTTAAAATACTTTTAATTTGTTCTTACATGGTTTTCCAGATGAAGTGACGACAACATTAAAGTTTAAAGAAGAAAATCCTAACATTTAAACCGACTAAACAATAACATAATAAACTTGCATATTTAAACAGCAACTAAAAATTATAGGTTTTACTAAATCTTTTCCTGTGCAATTGTTACTAACATTGGAGACAAGGATAATAGTTTGTTTTAAAGAGAAAAGAACAGGCTTTGAAGTAAGCCTAAAAGCGTTTAACAAGAAATAGTATTTCAAAAGTTATTAAGCACAAAAGATGAATTGCGTTTTTTTTTATACACCCTGTAGACTAAATTTTGATCTAGGCATGCAGAACAAAATCCATCACCACAGCTAGAAAGAGCATGTTAAAATTGGTAAAATTGCAAAGTTTGGCCCGGCAAAATTTGTATTAATTTGTATTACGCGCGGGAAAATGCACCACATTTGGGTCAATACAAGTTAATACAAAATTTGCAAATTTCGTAGGGCTATATTTCCCGCATTTTACAACATTTCGCAAGCTGTGGTGATGGATTTTGTTCTTCTTGCCTAGATCAAAATCACAAGTCGAACGCCTCGGATAAGAGTGCATATGGCTACGAGCGAGTACAATGTTTAAAGAATACGGAAAATTTGAAATTTTACCAGTTCATTCTTGAGAAGGTTTTCAATCAGGCTTTCCTTCTGTTCGACGTCTTCCTCCAGTTCATTTTTAATCATTGTCACTTCCGTCAACTCTGCCGTCAGCATTGCAATGTTCTTCTGTAGTTCCTGATAAACAAAGTGCTAGAATTATATTTCGGTACCACAGACTGGACATTTACATCCTCTTGCAAATCATTCGTACCGTTTCTTTTGCCTGGGCGTCACTCAATTCCTTACACTTTAGCTCCAGTTGTGACGTGAAGTGGCTGTTGTTCTCTGCATCCAATTTCTCCATGCATTGTTGTTTCTCTGCCAGTTCCTTCTTTTGTGTTTCGTAAGAGTTCTTCAGATTTGTCAAATTTTCATTCAATTTACCGATTCGCGACTTCAATTCCTGTACAAAAATTAAATGATATCTCAAACGCGGTGGTCAAATGTAGGTCGTAGTCTACAATACGAATATAAGATGCAGTTGAACTATCAGAAAACGAATAAAAAACTTCGACGTTTCAAGAAGTGTTTTGATCAGGGTTTTGATTCTTCCCAGGTAGTTTAGACACAAACGACGGCAGCTTATTATGAATTATATTAGATATCGTTTAGATAGCATGACTCTTAAAATATTCTACTTAAAATGGCACAAAGAATATGAAGAAACCTCATTTTGATGCGAAGTTGATGCGTGATTATTCGTAGCAAGCTGAAGTTCTCCTTTCAATTTTTCAACAGTGCTTTCATTCTCTTGAATAGTTTTCTTCTGTGCGGCTACCTGGCGTTTTATTTCTTCAGTGGAATCCTAAGAAAGAAAAGTAACGATTAAATATTGAATCAATTAATCATTTATCAGTTACTGTATCTTTTAGTATACAATATATTCATCTATTGCGTGATTTAGTCATGAATGCATTTGTCTTTAGGTTTCCTTCTGTAGTAACTGTGGAACAATTTAGGACAGTTTAGAATTGATGGACTTATCCACTATAAAGTTAGTTTTAGTTTAGGTTTCCTCCTGTAGTAACATTGCTCACTGGATCAATAATGGACGATCCTTACTGGACTCTAGGAAGAACAGATTAGAACCGATAGAACTATCCAGTATAAAATAAAGTTAATTTAGTTTAACATGACTCACATGAGTTTCCTCAACTTCTTTCTCCATTTTCTTAATGGCTTCATCCAACAATTTATTTTCTTTTTCAGCCTAAAATATTAGATGTTGAAATAATAGGTCGACCAACGTCGTGACGAAGAGCCTTGAAACGTTCGAGTGTTTTCAATGTAGTTCGAGTGTTTTCAATGTAGTTCAGACACAAACCACGATTGATCAATACATACCTGTGATAATTTTTCCTCGGCCTTCTCCAGTTTTCTCGTGAGAGATTTGCTGTTCTAAAAACGAAGAAAACTAACGTCGTTAACTGGAAATTCCAACATTCTACACGGGTAACAAGTGTGGTTAGTGCGGTGTGTCAAGTTTGAAGTTTCATAAAGTAAATTCAATGCACCCACCAGAAGTTCAGTTTCCATTTGGCAACATTCGTCAACTTTCTGTTTCAATTTTTCACGTAATTTCTTCAGGTCACTTTTTTCCTTTTCTTGGCATTGTAAGATGGCCTCCTATACATAATTATAATGTTGAAAGATGCACAAGCATAAGTTAAGCAAGTTGCACTGGGTTAACAAGCTTTCGTTGGTAGAGACGCAACTACCTGAAAAATATAAGGAGAATTTCGACGTTTCGAGCGAAGGCCCTTAATTCGTCTGCAGTTCGAAACGTCGAAATTCTCCTTATATTATTCAGGTAGTTGCATCGCTACCAACGAAAGCTTGTTTATATTATTGGCAATAGCTACCCTGGCACAGATATGCAGTTCAAGTTTATCCACAGGGTTATGCCTGTTTTTCACCAGACGAATTTGTTCGCGAAAAGTGATGCCCACAAAGGAAACAGTCGCTTCGGGCCAACAAATTCGCCTAGTGGAAAACCGGCTTAAAGAGTTATTACGAAGTCGGGATGCCGTATGGTAATCTGCGTTTATTCCTGGCTAATTCCTCATGAAATGTGGTTTCTCCCAATCTGCGTGATGCCCACAAAGGGAACAGTCGCTTCGGGACGACAAATTCACCTAGTGGAAAACCGGCTTAAAGAGACGGCTGATTATAAAGTCGGGATGCCGTATGGTAATCTGCGTTTATTCTCAATTCCTCATGAAATGTGTTCTCGCCCAGTCTACATCCAGTTGTTGAATGAGTGCCAATGAGGATTACGTGTACACCTCGCCATCCAGGGACGAGAATCGTCATTTCCATAACCTAAACATCTACACTAAACTAATATTACCAATACTCTGTTGGATATTTCTTCTACGCGTCTGCTGGTCGTTGGTGTGATTGCTAAAGGACTAGTCTGCCTTCTAACTGACTGAAGATGTTTCACTCTCTGAACTGTGCTACAGTGTCTACTTTCAAGTTCCTGAACTTGTCTGATTCGAGCTAGAACCTTGGCAATGAGAAAACAGACTAGATTATGCGGGTCTATTATAGCAGTACTAAACAAGGTAATTAGTCACACGTGGGAAGAATGCTTCCAGATTGACTCTGCCTGTTACTGTAGAATTTCTTTAGGTTTCCTCTTGTAGTAACACCAGATCATCTTTCAATGAATCAATAAAAGATGATCCTTACTGGATCTCTATGAAGAACATTTTACAACTGTTACTGATAGAGCTATCCAGTATAAATAAAGTTAGTTTAGTTTAGGTTTCCTCCTGTAGTAACACTGGATCAATAAGAGATGACTCTTACTGGACCTCTAAGGAGAACAGTTTAGAACTGATAGAGCTATCCAGCTTAAATAAAGTTAGTTTAGTTATTTTTTTATACAGTACCTCAACAACTTGACTGTCGGTATTTTGTTTCGATTCTTTGAGCTGTTCTTTGAGCTATACAGAAAGAAACGAGACATACACTGTACTGTAGCTAACTCAAGTCAAGCACATTGCAAGAAAATCAAGACAGTATATATACCCACCTCATCGACAGTTTTCTGCATTTCTTTCAATGTGATGTTTCTGTCCTCCACCATCTAAAATATTGAAAAAATATTTCAAAATTACACATATGGTGAAACACAGGCATAAAAAGTGTACATATATCATCACTTGAATCATCCATCCACTCCAATATTCAGTTTCAACAATCAACCAAGTGTTCAAAGTGCAGAAAAAATCTTTATACCATAGCTATAAACTTATACAATTTTTTTATAAATACAAATTATAACTATACAATCATCAAGCTACTCACTTTCTTCTGTGCGGATAATTCATCTTCCAGCCGCTGTGTTCGTTTCATAGCGACAAAACGATCTTCCTCCATTTGTGTCATGACAGCTTGTTGTTCGTCAAACGCCGCTCTGCATGGATTGAGATCTTTAAAAATACTTACTCACAGAGACCCGCTTGTTTAGGGAATAACGCTACACTAGTATAATACGGTATTTCACTTGTCAATAGGGAGCTTAAGATACACACCAAATCTACGACGCGGACGTGACGAAAAACTGTCACACAGTTTCACTTCACGGGTAAAAACTATGGATTGTTGTTGGTAAACAAAGCCAGGGACACGAGAAAAACAAAGTAAAACTAGTCTCCAATTATCAGCGATTGTTTTTTAATCGCGTCCGTGTCGCAGATTTGGTGGATCTTAAGCTCCCTAATAAGAAAGTTCCGGGATGGAAAAAAAGCATTAAATTCGAATAAAATTGACGAAGTTCAGAGAAGTCATTTCTACAAATGTTACCTAGTTTCTTGCTTGCGTAAGTCTCGAGCTTTCGTTCTCATCTCTTCCACCTCTGACATCAATTTGATTGCGCTGTTGTCCGCATTATGCCGTTGTTTACGCTCTTCGTCCAACCTCTTTTTCAAATCCTGGAAATTGTTTAAACGGCGTTTGTCATGATATACAGTAGGTGTTATGTATTAAACAGACGATGTTCGATCAAGCGGGAAGGTACCAAAGTGTAAAAATAATATTCACTCTTTCATTATACGTGGTAATCGAGCTTGTGTTTATAAATTTATTATAAGTTCCGAAATATCACATACTCGAGCCGACCTGACCGCGTAGCTCAATTGGAAGAGCATTGGGCTTAATGGGCTAGTACTCCAAAGGTCGTAGGTTCGATTCCCACCGTGGCCAGGCATATTTTTCAAGCTTGCCCGGTGTGGATATACACTCAGAGTATAAACATCACAAGCAAAATTAAGATTGATTTACACTATCCAAGTTTCTGTGATCACAGTAGGAATTTTGCATATATGGATAAATTCTAAGTTTTGAAGGATTTGTAAGACATGTTTGAGGAAGTGACTCATTGTTAAAACACTCAGTTCCCTCAATCATTTCTTAGAAATCCTTCAAAACTGAGAAATGTCCTATGCAAAATTCCTACTATATGATCACAGAATCTTTGATAGTGTTAACCAGGCTTAAGGCTTATTGAAACCAACCAAACCTCCTATTCGCAATGGTGAACGGCTCCACATTAAATGTCTTCACAAAACCAACCTTTATTTCTGTTTCCTTCAAAATCTTCTCTTTCTCAAGTAGATCTTTTTCATTCTCCAGAACATCTTCCCTCTGCTTTAACAACGATTGAAGTTCATCCACCATCTTCTCAGAACTTTCTCTGTCTTCAGAGCTGCTTACGTCATGAGTGTTGATGTCATTTTCAACAGGACTTGATCCAAGTGTTGCACTTTTCATAGCTCTGAATTAGAACACAGAACATAAACCATGAGAACATGCATAACTGGGCTGTTTCGGCCAACCCATGTTGTTTCCTATAGCCCAGGTTTTTTTTCATGGATTTTTTAGTTAAACGTTAGTTAAACGGCCCCAAAAACTCAATCTTAAATTGAGTTTTGCAATTCAATCTTCTCACCAAAGTTTCAGTGCAATAAAAAAGAAGTTGTTTGAGTTAAATTTCGTACGTGTGGAAATTAGTTCTCAGTTGGAAGCCCAACAATTAGGAAAAAATGGCTGGAATTCATCTCACAACACAAGAAAAACTATGCATTCGCCATCTTTAAACAGTTTATAGTGTCCCTTATTGCCCCTGCTTTAACACATTCCGTCTCAACTACATTTATTGAGTACAGGTGTCAGCCCCCCGGTTTGGGGGGGGGGGGTGCAGCCACCTCAGCTGTTCAGCTAAACTCGATCTTCTCTGCAAAAACGGACCCAAGAGAAAATCCTGAAAAAAATCCTGATAGCCCTGTTTTCAGGAGATGGGCAAACCAGGAAATATTGTTTTCTAGCCATAAGGGATCAACGTTAAGATCTTGTGATAAGGAATGGGTTCTATTAAAGATTAGCATGCATGTATAGACACTCTCATCTGCAGAGGACTTAATTATTGTTAAGGCCTCATGGTCAAACAAGAATAAGAGTTGAGAAGCAAGAGTTTGCATGAGAGTTGAGAAAACGGTCAAACGAGAACAAGAATTGCATGAGAGTTGAGCAGCGAGAGTTCGCATGAGAGTTTTCTCAACTCTCATGTCCTAGTCAAACGAGAACAATACTCAATAGTTGCACGAGAGTTGAGAAGCGAGAGTTCGCATGAGAGTTTTCTCAACTCTCATGCCCCGGTCAAACGAGAACAAGAGTTGCATGAGAGTTGAGAAGCGAGAGTTTGCATGAGAGTTGAGAGTTTGCATGAGAGTTGAGAGTTTACATGAGAGTTGAGAAAACTCTCATGCCCCGGTCAAACGAGAACAAGAGTTACATGAGAGCTGCATGATCAGAGCTGCATGATCAGAGTTGAGAAGCGAGAGTTTGCATAAGAGTTTTCTCAACCGTTTCATGCATGAGAGTTGGCTGGATATATTACTGCGCGCGTAGCGAAGAAAGTCTCATCAACTCTCATCAAATTTAAACCACTTCAAAGTTGACGAGAGTATATGTAGTGCACATACAACTACATGCTAGGTAAGACTTCACCTCGATATTTTCTAATGCACTTACTCGTCGTCACATTTCATGAATGTAAAGCCAACAAAGGGCAGATGTTTCCCGCAAAACACTTTCTTCATGGGAGTTTTACTTCCGAACGTCGGCTGTTCGTCCTCAGGGTCAAATTCATCAAAATTGGAAGTGTCGTCAACTCCTGTGATTGTTGGAATGAATGGCGGTTGCTCTGAAATGGAGAAATCCAAGATTTATTATGCCGGTGAAAAACGAAATTGAAATTGCGACTTGAATTTTTATTAGACCGTTGTGAAAAATGAAACTATAGGTACTCTGGCAGGAATTCCCGAACCTGCAGCCCTGTGATTATACGACACGGCTACTTTATTTTAATGACCTACCTGTCGCTAGTGATGACCATTCTACGTCCTTGAAGAAGGAATGTTTCACCAGATGGGCGTAACCGAAACGATTTTCAATGTCAGTCAAAAGACCTCGGATTAGACCTTTCATGGCCGCGCTTGCTTTGAAACCAGTGGGGAATGACAGTGACTCCTAAAAAATAACATGTTGAAAATGATGATACAACATACTTGTAAAATAATTTTACATTAACGTTTTAAATTACAAATCTTTAGAAAATTGTATTCCTATACCAACCTTGAAATTCATAATTTTACTGTAGGTAAATGCAACCGAGTCTCCTGAGAATGGTGTGTTCCCATACACCATTTCATATGCCACCACCCCCAGCGACCACCAATCACACTCGACACCATACCCGTTACCCGACCCCTCCATACTTGTCAGGACCTCGGGCGAGATGTACTCGGGCGTGCCAACAGCCATTTTTGAATGAACCTGAAATAGATTGATGTGTGGTCATTTCAGAATTCAGGTATCTCAGGGGCAGGGGGACTCACTTGATTTCTCAATTTAATTAGGGGGTGGGGCAACAATTAGCTCAATTTCTTAGGGAAAGGTAGACCTCAATTTATCAGGGAAAATGGGTGGGGCAATGTTCAATTTTACTAGAAGGGGGGAGGGGGGGGGAGGTGGGGAGTGTCCATTCCTCATTTTATTTGGGTGGGTGTAAAGCTCAAAATCCCAACAGAGTGTGTGTGTGTGTGTGGGGGGGGGCTCTCAGGATTTATTTTCTTAGGGGAGGGTGGAGCTCAATTTTTGATTGGAGGGGGGAAGACAGCTCACTTTTTCAGGGAGGGGGTTAATTTAGTTTTTATTATGGTCATAAAGGGGACATATTTTGGGTAAACACAAAAACATTACTTGCCTTCTCGTCACTTTTTGACAATTTGGCAGCAGACCCAAAGTCAGCAAGTTTAATGTGACCATTCTTGTCAATCAGAATATTGTCCGGCTTCACATCTCTGCAGCAATCAAACACAGATCAAATATGAGTGTCATTATATATGTTTGTAGTAGTATTCCTGTAAAAGCCAGGTCACAATGCAACTTAATGGGTTAAGCTATTAATACCTGTGAACGTATCCCAACTCATGCAGACTGTGCAAGGCGAGCACAATTTCCGCAAGATAAAACTTTGCAATCTTCTCATCGAGTATCTCATCTTCTTGTTTACCAAGTAACGTGAGCAGGTCCCCCCCTGGATGGAACTCCATAACAAGGTACAAGTTTTGAACATCTTGAAATGCGTATTGTAACGTGGTTATCCAAGGAGATCCATTGCACGCCATAATCTCTTTCTCTTCTTCGAAAAATGCAACCTACGTTAAGTAATGAAAGGGAGTTAGATTCAGCATCACTTGCCGAGGCATGCAATTTAGCTGGCACAATTTAGCCATATGGAAGGACTTTCAAAAAGGACCGGCAGCAATGGGTGATTCAAGTTACTTTGCTTAGTACTTGAAATAATCCTGCTCTCTTTCCTCCACTCTGAGCTTTTGGACAAAGTTATTTTTCCTCAATCTGGCCGGTCTACTTTATAGCCTGGTCATTTTTGATAACAACAAACTCTTTCGTCAAACTGATTTAGTGATTAAGTTATCTTGTTTAAGATTGAAAGTAGTGATACATTATAATTTGGTTACATAGCTGAGTTGTGTTGCTATCTAATCAATATGCACTTATGTCTAGTTAATTGAGATGACTTAATTAATTAAGACTCCCTAGACTGTCCGTCTCCCCACAAGCAACCGCCCACTTTAATATTAATATTTTTATTCTCTTACATTTTCCTGTGAAAGCATTTCAGATTTCTTCAAAGTTTTTAAAGCATAAACATTGTTTGTTTGAACCTCTTTCACAACTTGTACCTTTATAAAGAATTATGAAATATTGAGTAGAATTTGGTCTGATATTTATATACAGCAATAAATTAATTTCTAAAATCATTTTCAACGAACATTGATGTTGAGCAATATACTAGATGTTATACCTGACCAAAATGTCCTCGACCAATGATGCTGATTACTTTGAAATCTGAGATCGACGGTCTGGTGTTTCTTAGCCTTGTCACATCATCCTTGTCTGTGAGGTAAAGGAATGGTTTGTCAAGGTACGACATTTAAATATGTACCCACTGGTGTAAGAAACACTCACTGACATTTTTACACTTTATAGTGTATCAAATACTGTATGTTTTTGACAGACTGAGTGCACAACTCAGAGCCTGTTTATATGGAAGCCGGGCTGGCTTGCTTGGCGAGACAGGTAAGCGGGATGAATTTCTCTTGTGTTTATATGAGAATTTCATCCTGCTTGCCGGGACAATTTTGTTACATTGATGTTGTTTTGACAGTTGTTAAAAATAGCTTGCGGCAGTATCTTTGAACTTTCATCCCGGCTAGCCCACTTGTGAGTGTTTATATGGAGAAATTTCCATCCCAGTAAGCAAGATCTCACCTATTTCAAGCGAGATCTCAGCAACCGAGCCAGCCGCTTGTCCATATAAACGCACCATATTTATTATAAAAATAACTACACAGCGAGATCTCGCTTACCGGGCTGTCTCTCTAAGCGGGCCAGCCCAGCTTCCGTATAAACAGGCCCTCAATATATGTTTGATGGAATGTTTTTGATGGCAAATGTATTCATTAAGGGCCAGCAAAATTCACATTCAAGCTAGTTGCCATGCAAAACATTTATCGAAACGCACTCAGTCTTGAACATGTCAAGCGTGGCATAGCTTATGGCAAGGCATTCTTTTGGCCAGACAGCCAAAAACATTCGAGCAATTAAACGTCATAGTCTGCTCATAGAATAATACTTTTGACGTTTCATGGGAAAACTTGAATATGGATGTGACCCTTAATTACTTTGGTACAATAGCCGAGTCTAATGGTATTAAGTACAATTACAAGGGTGACTGATAAACACCCTCCCAAGAGAATTGCTTCTAAATAATACCAAACATATATATGCCATCAAAACACACTATAAAATACCAGTAATATTGAATACAAGCGGTCAAAACTAGGCAATCGAAATACTTCCATTGGCTCTGGTACAAATAAAATTTGACAAATGTAAACTTGGATATAGCGAGGTTTAGTGAAAAATTTACAATTTTCAAAATACCTTTCTACTGGTACTTACATTTTTTAACAAATTCAGCAACGTGTTTATCTTTTTGCAAGTGTTCTGAGCTGCATTCATCAAATAGAGCTATAAAGCCATCAAGTAAAGCTTCGTTTGAAAGTTGCCATGTCTTGTCGTCTGTTCGACCATTCTCGTTTAAAACTCCTTTTAATTTTGTGCACCGTACAGAAATAGGCTCTTCAGCCATCGTATAAACCCGATCTTTACTTGTATTCCAGAAGAACCGCCTAAGAATGTCCTAAAATGTAGTTTTAAAATGAAAAATCTATCCAAAACTCGCCTTCGTTGCTGTAAATTGTCCGTTTGCGACTTTCGATTGCTCTTCGAAATTCCGCACCGAAATTGACAACGAATGGTGCTCTGTGATTGGTCAAATTCCCTCGCAACTTCGTCTTGATTGGTTGCTGTGTTTCCAGCGGCGAAATTCAAAAGAAATTAGTGAATATACACAAATATTTTTGCAGTTGACACTGGAATCCGACATTTTCCGATTATACGCCGAACAATTTCAAGATGGCGACGGCAAGGAGTGGGCTTTTTTAATGGAAATTGCTAGATAGTATACTTCAAAATAAGGTTTCCGTTTTTATATCAATTTTTTAAATAAATTAGGGTTAGGTTAGGGTTGGGGTTAGTATTAGGGTTTAGTTTTGCGTTAGGATGTTTTTTTCTACGTTATAAAAACGGATACCTTATTTTGAAGTATACTACGAGCATTTTCTAATTACATTTTGCATAAAAACAATTCTGTATATTACTTTTTAACACGAAATTCAACCAAATTGAATATTAACAAAACAAAGCAATTTCCCATTTCATAACATATATTGAATACATTAACTTCTAAATTTACAACTAAGATTTATTATACAATTGTTTTGTTATTGTAAAACCACCACGTTCGCAAAGCTAAAGGAACAAAAAGAGACAACAAGGAACAAGGCCTTTTGCATATCGTCACACATATGTGGCTGGATGGCATAGAGAACAGTGGTATTTTCAAAACAATGAAAACACAACATTCCTATCACTGAATATTTCATCATCACCAAAGCACAATTAAAATTAAAGATTATATAAGTTGAAGTAGAACTAGCCATAAAGCACAAAAATCAACATCGTCCATGGGAAGTGCTTTGGACATTGCCAGAAACAGTATACCTATTCGTTTCAACAAGATTTTCATCACAACTTAAATCATCACAACTCAACCCTTACAAAGACAAGAAAATAACAAGTGAAAATCACGTTTTCTATTTGGAAGTACTCCTAGTTTTCCCAGAATCACTGCCAGTTCGTTTGGACAAAATTTTCTTAACATTATCAGTGCAAAGAAACGCAAGGGCGATATAGAAGCCCTGAAAGCCATTGACAAACACGAACAGATACTCAAAAACAAGCACCCTTGGAAACACAAGTTGAAACACACCAAGCAACCACGTAAAACCCATCAAACTTGCCATACGAATATATATCCAAACATGGCTCTTAGTTACAGACTTTGCAGATCCACTCTCCGCAAGCTTTTGACTGGATTTTGAGCATTTTCGAATCATGTTTACTGTTGCTAACAACAACGCAAGATTTATGCAAAGAAGCGTAAACACAGGTGCGAAAAAAGATACATAGAGAGCATCAATATTGCCCAGCCAACAGTGATCCTTTACACTGCCATAGTCCAGCGAAACTACTCCGTAATAATCAAGAAGGAAGAATAGAGTTACCCATACACAGGGAAAACCAAGAGAAAATAAAGCGCATCGCAAGAACGTCTTCCTTTCGTTAGATCTTCCCAGCTTCCCGTTTGCAATTGCACGAAAAGTAAAGAAAGAAAGTGATGCAATCGAAGTTGCACATGAAAACGTGGCCAGGAACATAAAATGTAGTAAAGCGGATAAAATAACGCATACTTTATGGGACTCAGATGCTCGTTCTTGCAGAAGCCATAGGAATTGAGCTAGCGCTAAAACACAACAGAGCAACATCAGATTTTTCCCGGGAAGATTTCGCAAGGCAGGAGTAATAGCGTAGATGAAAAGTAAGACAATTAGACTCAGTATTGAGATTGACAGGCAAAATAAGGAGCTATATCTCAAAATTGTTTCGTGGACTGTTTTTGATTGCTCTTTTCCCCCACTCTTTGAAGAAAATTCATCGGTCAAACACAGCCATACAACACCGTCCATTATAGAATATTCTCCAAATTCGAACCACGTATTTGTAACATTGCTGTAAATCGATCGGTTTGAGAACAATTTCCAGTTTGAATCACTCTTCAAAATATACTTGCAGTTTGTAGGCACAGATTTCGCGCATGTTGCAAGCCTTGTTTGGTTGTGCCGTTTGAAGAGCATATATTCTCCTTGATTGAACTTTTCTCCAGAAGCTTGATGGTACAAAGTTCCATTGTCGAAAATCGATACTTTGTCCATTGTAATCGCCACATTTGATTGGTTTGTATCTAGGCATTTCATTTTTCGTGACGTTTCGATGCTCAACGAATAATTACACAAACTGGACGCATTATAGCGATCATAAAAGAAATTTATCTGACCCAATTGTAAATCTTTTACAGGAGAAAACAGTTCGGTTTCATTTATCTCACTTTTGATTGCCAAAATCTGGAACGTCACAGTAGTATAGTTCGTGTCATCTACATAGATAGCAATATTCGAAAGTGTCCAATTTGTGTTCCGCAAATTCAACTCAATTCTCCGCAGAAATGCCTCGTTAAATTCACTTAAAAGCTTCCCTAGTATAACACTTTTGTTGACCTTTGTAGGATTCTTGTTATAAACATTATAACGAAAACATTTCAACTTCTGATTTCTTGTATAATGAAGCCGAATTGCATAGCTCGTTAGAAAAGAAGAATCGTTTAAATTTAGTTCAGAAATGGTTAGTAATTTTCTGCAGACTCGAGCGGTGTTATCGTAGAAAAGTCCTTGAGAACAGCGAGCTGTATCCGTGTGCAGCGATACAGGAAGTCGAAACATTGTTGCAAAATTGAACCTTGTATCCGGAGGGTTATGCGGGCCGCAAGACACCTGCGCAGGAATGAAACCAAACGAATATCGATGGTTGCACTTCAAACAGTAGAAATTCTTATACGTCTCGTTCTTAAAGCTAACCAAGGCTGTTTTACCACCACGACAGCTACGAGCTGTTGTTGAATTATCCGCCGTATCTTTGCAGGAACTCTGGATTTTATAACAATATCTTAACCCAACCTCGGATGAATGGTTCAGATTGATACGTGGACACTCGTCAGCCAAGGAGCGATCTTTGTTCAAGTCTTTCATGGAGGAACGAGGCTGCCGGCTGTTGGAAATGTTTTGGGAACTGCCGTTTTTCATCTGAAGCATCAAACATGTAAATTTTTGGACGTTGTTGCACCTTGCGCAGTAACGGTTTCTGAAGATGTTGTTGAATTCGTCCACGATCAATGTTGGGTCTTCTTTCAGAGCTTAATGAAAGGTAGAAGGAACTTAACTGATTAGAGGCCCATTAGGTAGAATACTATAATCCTCACTACTGTAATTAACGTAATTAACCTTCTCAGAATAAAGTTTTTATTATCATTATTCTTATTGTTTCTCCTGTACTAAGCTGGGGGCAATAAGCGATGGCTCCAACTGGATCCCTAGGTAGAACAATTTAGAGCTATCCAGTATAGATATAGTTAGTTTAGTTTAATTTAATTATCTAACTTACCAATCTCGCTGGAGTTGTTTTCACATTTCGAACGAACTTCGTCGTAAGGCCAATCTAGCGCACACGTTTTGATCATCCAAATACGAAAGTCCTGTCCCACAAGCATACCACACCCCCATCTTTTGACCACGCCCCCCTCGCCCCTGCGGGTCTCAGTCTCCTGACAATATCTCTCATAATCTGCACAGCAGTCGTGGAAGATCGTATTGCATTCTGGGTCACAGAAACATCGTAAGTATTTCCCCTTTGTGGTAATATTTTGAAATTGACGTGTACTTGAACAACGGTTACGACAGGACCGCTCTTTTGGGCATGTACTTGGAGGGGTAATGGGGAACGGACGGGGTATAAAGGGGGTAATGTACTATTATCTCCATTTGTATTTTCGATAACTATGGCGTCAGTGTCATTCCCGTTCGCGGTCCCAGGAAATGAGCCAGGTCCAGGCCGAGGGAGGAAGAAGCCTCTGGAGCATCCAAGTAAGAGGGCGGAGAGCAGTATGGGTAATATGGTAAGGCACATAGATGCTATTTGTATGGTCTAAAAATGATAGACATTTGTTTGTAATTTCATATTGAATAAACCAAGCATTTTACTGTTTATACAACTATTTCTCTAAAAGCATTGGTTTGATTTATCTAGTATAAATAAAGTCAGTTTAGTTTAAATTCATTTCCTAAATGCCTGACAACGCTTGTAAAATTTTGCGCAATTTATCCGTAAGTATTTTCGTTTGACTGGTTGTGTTTGCTCAAAAACCTTTTAAAAGCTCGTTAACACATTTTAAATAAACGAGACATTTCTTTAATGTAAACATGTGTCAGAGCGAGTACGGAAAGAAGCTGACAAAACGTTTGATTACCTTTTCCGCAATTGAAGAAAATTATTGTCTAAGAAATCTAGTTTTGATAAATTTATAATTATAGTAAATCATTTTATTTACCATAAAATGTATTACTTTATTTATAATTATAGTATATCATTTTATTCATTTTATTTATTTTTATCCATGCAAATTAAAGACAATGTCGGTCTGTAATTTACGGAAACTTGAAACGAACGAAGGTCTGGATACTTCCATCACATTCTGTTTTCTTTTATATAGAAGTCCAGTATTACTATACAGGAGTAAATTAATCTGCAAGCGTATTTCTTAAACATGCGCGACTAAACCGTATATTGCAGACAATGGTATTTTCCTCTGTCTAACGCCAGACAATTTTTTTCTGTCTGTGAGAGAGTGCGGGAAAGCGACGCTCTTACGCAAGAAATTACACTGCACGATTGCACTAGTTTAGAATACTACAATGCTCATCAACTATAAAGAGAGTTGGCAGTCACGCGATCTTGGTTAGCTGTTTCTTAATGCTTTCCCAACATAGACTATCGTGTATTCTATTGAAGTTGAAACATACTAGTTGGAACACTCATCAAATCTTCATTTTGTTAATCTAGAGCTTGAAATGTTACAATATAAATACTATATAAATACAATTTACCTATAACACAAACTACAACTAAAGCCTAAAATAATATTAGATAGATTATGATCAAAATTTGTCAAGTGAAATTCTCTTTAATATAACTAACCTTTTCCGATACAAGCACAAGATATCCTTGGTAAACAAGTTATTCAGAACCTCTGTTCCTCTAAATTCCCTTCGTATATAATTGAAAAACTTCCTCAAAATCTTTCTTTGTGTTCTATGTAGAAGTGATGCCCTGTGACTCTGAACAGTCTAAACACATGCAACGAACACTTGAAGAAATGTGACGATACTTATGGTATAGTTGACAGCATGTCCAAAACCAACCAGTGAGATTGAAGCACCAGAAAAATGTAAACCAATCAAAACACATTTGGAGGGAAAAGAATTACTATAAATAAAGCATTAACGATCGATCTGTAAGTCATTCACAAACACGAACAAAAATGCTTAGATTGACGCACATTAATTAAACATTCATCTCTTTTTCTTCATGAATATATTATACAGGAGAGATGAAGTGCATTTCAATGAGTCTATGTATATATACTGTTTGAATTTGGCAAAGTCGAAGATAAAAAAAAGGCAATGAATAGTAAAATTCCAACCAAGTATGCGCTTAAAACATATACAGCTATTTCATTGGACCATTTGCATTATAGACTAAATTTTGATCTAGACAAAAATTTCATCACAGCTTGAAAGAGCATCACAAAATTAGTAATATTCCAAAGTTTCGTTGCGAATTGTTGTAAAATGCGGATAATATAGCCATGCGAAGTTTGCCGTTTTTCAGTCATTTTGTATTACGCACGGGAAATTGACAGCCCAATCGGGTGTTGGGG